AGGACCCACAGGAAAGTGACTGCTGATACAAGATGGACATTGCTACAGGGTCCCTACTTCATGGAAGAGTCTGCCAGATATTCCGCAGGACAGGGAGAAAAGTAAATGACAAATTGCCAACACAGATGGGACATTTTAAAGTTTCCTACTTTGCTGAGGAGTCTGACAGACACACTATGGTCTATAGGCTAAAAATGGAGCATTACAGAAGAACTTTGGGTGAATGACCAGGTGAGTTATCTCTGTCATTTCTAGAGTTTATATATTATCCTTCTGTGATCTTTGAAGGAGTTGAAGACAGACAAATAGTTATGGTTATAGTTTTCCTTAGTTAAGATTAAGATAAGTTACATATAGGACTTCAGACTCACAAAGATAGGATAGATGCTAAAATATTGTCTTTAAATCCTACTAAATGTTTATGAACTAAATATTATTAACTGTGGTTCTTGTTTTATAACTGTTTTGTTATATATGTTGCTATGTTAAGGTTAAAACCCTTCTTTTTATTTTAGACAGAAAAGAGGAGATGATGGGAGATGTCATTCTGTAAATATGTTCCTCATATTGGATAATGAATAAAGCACTGTTGGCCAATAGGAAAGCAAGATAGGCATGACCAGGAGACTAGGAGGAGAGAGAAAGAAGAAAGGAAGGAGGAGTTTTCAAGATGTAGGACCAACAGGGTAGTACACCGGGCCTTCTCTCTGGTAAGATAAGACTATGTGGAAATACTTAGATTAATAGAAATGGGTTAGTATTTAAGACAGAGCTAGACAATAAGAAATGCTAGTAACAGGCTAACAGCTTATATCTAATACAGCATCTCTGTGTATTATTTGGGGCTGGCGTGGCTGTGGGACTAAGCCGGCAGAAAAACATGCTCGTAACAGTTAGGTTTGTTAGGCTTTTATAGATATATAGAGATATATTTCAAATGGATAGGCATTCTTCAAACCTTTAATAGGCCTACAGAATATGACATTTAAAATGGTTTAGGGTTTTTCTTGACAGTGAGACATAACTGCTCCTGGCAACACCACCTTCGTCACAAAGGAAGATGAACATAGAAGAAACCCATTATGGAGTTTACTCCCAATATAGCAAGACTAGCCATTTGGGCAAGATACTGTTCTTGTCTGGAATGTTTGACTTTATGCTGTATAAACTGAACATGCTAGACCCACAGAAAAATGACTGCTGAAACAGAATGGACATTATTACAGGGTTCCTGCTTCAAGGAAAAGTCTGCCAGACAGTCTGCAGGACACAGAGAAAAGTGACTGACAAACTGCCAATACAGGTGGGACAGTTTGAAATTTCCTGCTATGCTGAGAAGTCTGCCAGACACACTGTGGCCTATGGGCTGAAGGTGAATGCACCAATTTACAGAAGAACTTTGGGTGACTGACCAGGCAGCGAGTTTTCTGTCATTTCTAGAGTTTATATACTATCCTTCTGTGGTCTTTGATGGAGTTAAAGACATACAGTTATGGTTACAGTTTTCCTTAGTTAGGATTAAAGATAAGTTACATATAAGACTTTAGAGTGACAAAATAGGATAGATGATGAAATATTTTCTTTAATTCTTGCTAAATGTTAATAAATAAATTTATTTATTAATTAGTAAATGCTAAATATTGTTAACTATAGTTCTTGTTTGATAACTGTTTTGATATATGTAATTTTACTATGTTAATGTTAAAGCCCTTTTTGTTTTAGAAAGAAAAGAGGAGATGATGGGAGATGGCATTCTGTAAATGTGTTTCTCTTATTGGTTAATAATAAACTTCTGTTAGCAAACAGAAAGGCAAGATAGGCAGGACTAGGAGACAAGGAGGATTCTGGGAGATGTAGTAGAGAGGAGGCAAGATGTAGGACATGAGAGAAGAGGTCTAGACCCTCTCTCCAGTAAGATAAGACCATGTGGAAACACTTAGATTGATAGAAATGGGTTAATATTTAAGGCAGAGCTAGCTAATAAGAAAGGCTAGTAACCAGTCAACAGTTCCATAATTAATACACTGTCTCTGTGTGTTATTTGGGGCTGACACAGCTCTGGGAACAAATTGGTGGGAAACTGCTCATAACAAATGTAATCATATGTGAACCCAATGATGTGACCACAGTGCAATCATATGTGATTCCAATATTGTGACCACAATGTAAAAGTAATCTAGATGGCTGGAGGTAAAAGTACTTAGATTGTCTTCTCCCTACTATAAACTAAAAGTCTCCATTGCAATCAAAGTAAGGTGACTTTGTAACTCAGTGAAGGGTGCATCAATTCTCCCATGGGATCAAGAGTCCCACTCTTCCACTTAAATGATACTGAGACATGATGAGACTCAGGAGCAAACATGCCAAATCCAATGGTGTTTAGGTTTGCTTTTGTTGCAGGTTCTCAACCAGAAAGTGTAATAGCCTATCAGGAATCATTATGGAGGGGGATGGGGGGAGAGTGCCAGAGCCAGGGGATGGGAAAAATGTGCAGCAAAAGGGTATCTTCTGAAGAGAACACAGCCATTGCACTCATGAGCTGTCTTTGTCTGTACAAGACTTGTACAAAATTGGGCCCCCAAAATGTCACCATATATAAGAGTGGATGGTTTTACTGCTTGATTCTGCAAACTTTTCAAGGAATATTTAATATTGACATTTCTCAAACTTTTCTATAAAATAAGGAAGGAACACTACCAAATTCATCCTATATACCATTATTGCCCTGTGAGGCAACACTACCAAACTCATCCTATGATGCCATTATAACTCTGATGCCAAAACCAAACAAAGAAAAAAAATGATAAACTAATCTCCCTTACGGACATGATTCTCAACCAAATGCTTTCCAGCTGAATTCAGTCACATTAAGAAAATTTTTATCATAAACAAGATGATTTCACCCCAAGATGGGTTCAATAGAGCAAATCAATAAACATAATATACCACATTAGCAGACTTATTTAATCCCAGCACTCGGGAGACAGAGGCAGGCAGATCTCTGTAAATTCAAGGCCAGCCTGGTCTATAGAGTGAGTTCCAGGACAGCCAGAGCTATAAAGAGAAACCCTGTCCCAAAACACCAAAAGTTAAAAGGCTCTAATGAAACCAGTAGTAGGCAGAAGAAAGCTCAATATAATAAAGGCTACATGTGGTTAACATTGAAAATATATAAATAATTGAATAAATTAAATGCTAAAAACACCCTGACAATCAATGAGCCAACAATCTGAGGAAATGCTTTTAAAAGAAAAATTTTAAAAGCTAGGAAACACTCTAGCCATCAGAATAAAGCAAATTAAGACTATGAGATTACATCTCACCCTAGCCAGAATGGCCATCTCACCCTAGCCAGAATGGCCATCATGGAGAAAATAAATGACAATAAATGCTTGCTGGTGAGGATTTGAGAACCCTTGCTCACTGTTGGTGGGAGTGCAAACTCGTGCAGTCACTGTGGAAGTCATATGGTGGCTTTGCAAAAGTTCAAAACTACAGTTCCAATGGAATGCAGTCATCACACACAAGCATACACCCTAGTCTCTACATGCTTCCACAGAAATATCTACACATGCATGCTTATTACTGCTATCTTCACAATAACTAAGAAATGGAATCAGCCTAGATGTCCACCAGCATATCAATGAACCATGACAGTGTGTAAGTATACACAATGAAGTTACATTTAGCCCAGAAGAAAAAATAGAATTATGTATTTTTCAGGGAAGTGGTTGAGAATGGAAAGCATTTTCTTTTTTATATATATATATGTGTGTGTGTGTGTGTGTGTGTGTGTGTGTGTAAATTTACATATATATATATATTATTCTGTGTGTGAGTGTTTTGCTTACATATATATCTGTACACATATGTATGTATCTGTTACAGGCAGAGGATATTGGATACCTTGGAACTGGAGTTACAGACAGTTCTGAGACATCATGTAGGTACTGGGAATTGAACCCTGGTCCTCTGCAAGAGCAAGAGCTCTTAAACACTGAGTCATTTCTCCTGGCCTGAAAATACCCTTTTTCATAATTATTTTATTATTCTTAAATATATATGCATATGAGTGCCGCTGTCCTCAGATGCCTCAGATGTATTTGATCCCCCTAGAGCCAAAGTTACAGGCTATTGTGAGTTGTCAGTTGTAAATTCTGGAAATCTAACTCTTGTCTTCTGGAAGAACTACAAATATTCCTACCCACTGAGCCACCTATCAGTGGAATATTCTATTAAGCAAAGTAACCCAGGCCCAATGGTCAAGACAAATCTGTATATTGTCTTTCATATGTGGATCCTAGCCTCTAACTGTTAAATATGTGTATCCAAATTCTGGTAGAGTTCAAAAAAACTAGAAAGGAACCCATGAGACTGAAAACACAGAGAATTTTTAAAGGAAGGGGTTGGGAAAGGCATTGGAACAACCAGATAGGAAAATGCTGGGGGCGAAAGTGTACAGCAGGGAAAGGAGGGCAGGGAAGATGGAGACTCAAGCAAATGAAACATGTCTGGGGAAAAAGAAACCTACTACTGTATAAGCTGATTCAGGAAATTCATTAAAAATTTAAAAGATGTGAAAAGCAGTCCATACCGAAATAAGTAAAATAAAAGGAAGCATTAGAAGGGAGCTAGGAGGTTTCCCTCTCGGTTTTCTGCTGTTTGGGTATAAATACTCATGTTTGAAATCACTGCTGATGTTAGTACTATTTCTACAGATAATATTTATTAATGCACAAAATTAAATACAAAGAAAATAGATACTGTGTTCTAGATTCCTCTGTAGGGGTCTATAAAATCCTATCAGCTCTACTTACTTGCTGCTACAATATTAAAGATATGTTTGTGCTCCACAGAATAAACTCCCAAAGAATTAATTTCCAATAAATTAAAAAAGGGTAGAAATACACACTTAATTCAAATAGAAAGCCACTAATCATTGAAACCTGTTTGGGAGCCCCCAGAAATTCTAATAAAAGCCCAAAGAATGAATGTCTTACTTGCTATTAATGAGCACTTCAGACTGCCGGTTATTCACTTGATTGTCACTCTTGTGGCGAAACTGAAAAATCAAATTTAGGAAAGATTATCTTAAGTCATACTTTATCAATCCTAGCAGCCATGCTGGCCATATTTTGAGTTCATCTGTTTGGACAATGTGCCTGTCCATCCAATATGAACACAGCTTACACTCAATTTGAGCGGAGTCTATGCACAGCTAATCAACACTCATCTCCCTACATCTCATTCTGGTATATATATCACCATTAAAATTGTGTGTGTGTGTGTGTGTGTGTGTGTGTGTGTGTGTGTGCGTGCGTGCACACACACACACACACAAACACACACATATATGCACATGCTGCGTGCTAGACCCACAACTATTAATCATTACACATTTCTAGTTGCTTCTAAGAAGGCAGCATGCCTGCCTCATAGTTCAGAGACAACCATACACAGGTTTTGAAAACTTCAACCCGGAACCAGTTCCTATTTCTCTCACATGTGCACAAAGTCATCTGAGCATATTAGTGCACACTCAAGGGGGTACTTTCAGGGACATGAAGCTTTAATTTCACAAATTATAATAAGAGTGAGAGCTTTTCCTTTTGTATACACAAATACACATATACATACACATATACACACATACACTACATTATACTGCTGTCAAGCCTTCTCTTTTTTAACCTCAGATGTTATAGTATCAATATGTACATTGAAATATGATAGGCACTTCATTAGAAGACAGAAACATACCACATTAAGCCAAGTGCATTATCGATATGTGTGTGCACAATTTTAAGTGACTCATACCAAACTGTGAATCTTTTTTTTAAATTCTACATGCAACAACTTCAAAGAAACATCACAAAAATCAACCTGCTAATTATAGATCTTCCCCTCTACCTCATGCTTGACCACCCTCCAGCAGCACTGGCGGCTAGGTTCCCACTTCCTATTTGAAATTGAGACATCGAGCATTCTCAGGGAGGGGGGGGGGAATACCCACATAGTCATCAGTAGCATCCTTGACAGCTGTCATGGAGATCACCAGGACCAGAGGCACAATGGTGGTGAACCATGTCAGGGAAGAGATTTCTGGAATGAGCTGAAACAAGCATTTTCCGCAATTTAAGACATTTTAAATTAAGGAAACATCTCCCAACCTTTGTCAATTACTTGCATAACACTTTTAGAAGTAAATTTGTTTATGTGTAGCAATTTGTATAAAAGTAAATTTGCTAAAACTATTCAACTATGTGCATTCGACCACAAAATATACAGAGAGATACCTGCCTGCTGATTTTCTGACTACCTGACAAAAACAGAGTAGAGTCATAAAGCGAGCTGAGAAGTGGGCTCCTTGAGCTCCTTCACAGACACACATCTTTCACCGGGCTGTTATGCATCACCGATCCCCAGCTTCTCATCTCAGTTTTAATAAGTTACCAACCCCTCTAAGCAACACTTGCCAAACAGCCTTAATAATTGGATGCTCTGAAAATTAGTTTCTAAGCTAGAACATTTTGTACAATACACATGGGTTACATATCCACATAAATAACACCCCACACACCGTGCACACCAGAATATATTAGGCATGGTGACCCAGTGTCAGGAAAATCTGAAGAGCTGTTATAAAGTCCTTATTTTCCTATCCCAATTCTACCACTGAAGTGTCTAGGGCATTGAAAACCCTAGCAAGAACACACACTGCTAAAATATGGACCTATGCCTCTTGACTACAACATTACTCCTTTGTGCCTTTATCTCTCTAGTGCTACTGGCTAAGGTAAACATGTAAGAAGCATGTGACCCTCTTAGACAGTGTTTTCGTCTGTTTTTTTTTTTTTAATCCAATCACATTCCCTTAGGATCTGCTCCAGGGCTGTCAGGCAGGGTAGGGTCTAATAGAGATTACTGGGGGGGAGGGGGGGGAAGAAGGGGTAAGCAAGTTCCAGAAATAATTCAAAACTAAATTAATTTTACATAATAGACTCTGTGCAATTTTTTTAAACTTCAAAAAAAATCCCTGAGGGTTAAGTAATAGACATAAGCCCCAGTGTCCTACAACTCACTAGGTGACTGTAGGACAAATAATCAACCAGAAGACAGAGTTTAAGGGATTAGAGTGGAGACATGGATTAAGAGCACTGGCTGCTCTTCCAAAGGACCTGGGTTCAATTTCCAGCACCCAGATTGCAGCTGACTACCATTTATAACTCCAGTTCCAGGGGACCCAACACACTCACACAAACATACATGCAGGCAAAACACCAATGCCATTAAATAAATAAATAAATAAATAAATTTTAAGAGGAGCTCAAGGCTTCCCAAAACAAAGAATTGACCAATGCCTGAGGACACAGAAAGCTAATTACCCTAACTTGGTCATTGTACATGGTGTACATAATCTGAATTCTCACCCCATAGCACATAGATATGTATATTATTATGTTAATTCAAATAAAATAGCATTAAGAGACCCACTAAAAAGCCACAGCAAAAGGTCCCTGGAGATGCCACAGAGACATTGGGTAGGTAGCAGAAAGCCCTACTATTTCTCCTCTCTTGCCAATTTGTGGCTTTATGCATCATTTCACCTCCTTGGCTCCCGCATGTTCACCAATAAATAATACTGAACAGAGCCATCACCAAATGTCCCAAATATAAAACTGCATGATCAAAAGCCTGAGACTGTAAGTAAGAGTGTCATTAGAGAAATAAATTCAAAATTCTGGAATGGTGTGAAGGTCACATCAAGAATCCAAAAGGGGGAGGGAGGGCTGGGAGGGGAGGGAGGGAGGGAGGGAGAGGGAACTGGGATCGACATGTAAAACAATAAATTAAATTAAAAAAATGCTTTGACTCCAAAATTTAAGTTGAAGGACAAGTTACTGGGGGAAAGGATTTCTATTTTTATTTCCACAGAAAATGAAAAGATGTGGATTCCTTCCAGACTAATGTGGTTTGATCACGCCAGACCGCCTGAAACAGAGTACAACCTAATCCTACATTCAAAACAGCTGGACAAAACAGCCCTACAGACTACAGCCAGGATATCTGAATCTTCTTCGAATCCCCCAAGACAGCGCCCCTTACCAGAAGGAAGTAGCTTGGAAAGAACGATGCCCAAATTCCCAAATATTGTGTATAAATGTTTGTTTTCATTTAATTGGACTTTGTTATATAAAATTAAATAAAAAAATAAAAAAAAATTTAAAAAAAAGAATCCAAAAGGAAAAGACCCTGAGGGAGGAGAGACAATGGGTCTCAGTTCTTTCGTGAACAGCAGTGTGTTCATTCATCACTCTCTTCTGGTTGGTTGGTTTTATCTGCTTTGGTTTGGTCATGTTTGGTTTTGTTGGGGTTTTTGTTTGTTTTGTTTTTGTGTTTTGGTTTGGTTTAGTTTATACATAGTTAGGATCCAGTTATTTGCAACTGTATCTTTTTTCTTGGAGCTTTCTAATCCTCTAATTCTGGTTCTTTTACTTGTTGTGAACTGACTCCATTCTGACAGGGTTTTGCCCCATGCTCATGACAATAACTGTACCAATCCTTCACATGAATTGGAAAGCTTGGAAGATAAGCTGTGAAGCTGTCAAGAATACCAGGCATGTAGGACCTGACCATATGGAAGAAAACAGAAAAGAAGCCCACCCCAGGGATTACTGTCTGTGAACCCAGTCACACATGAAAGAGATACATCTTGGAATGCGTTCATCATCTGCAGAAGCTAATAGATCTCTGGCTCTTACAATCAAAAGGTTAATGCACATAGTTATTCAACTCAAGATCATACTCAACCCTGTCCATCTAGATCTCTCGTGGCTCTTATAAATAACACACCACCTCTCCTGGATCTCCCAATCTGATCTAAGTAAATCATTCAAAAAAAAACTGAATAAGTCACTGACTGATATGAACTACTGATGTGTGTATGCATCCTTCTTGATACATGCCTTTTTCCTTCCCAAAATAGCAATAAAAGTTGGCATTTCATTTAAGCCCAATTCTAGTTAAATGGGGAAGACTAGTAACAATTAATTTACTCAAAACTGTAAAAATAGTGACAAAACATATGTTAGGCATCATTTATTTTATGAATGCACACAATATGCTACTGTTCTTGGACTAAAGGGAAATTTGCCAAGTTAAGTTCCATGACCTTTTAATCTTAGAAGCCCAAGGCCCTGACAAAGTAAGAGAATGATAAGGAACAGAAGAAGGCCATGAGTAGCAATTATTAGACTTCAATATGGTTCAAATAAAGTTGAGACTCTCATATAGTTCAAATAAAGGTACACACTAATGTGACCTAGGTGTTTGAATAGGGAGCAAAAAGCAGATAGGTTGGGAAAGATGGGGGAAACGCACAGTATAGACAGAAAATGCACATATTTAATGTTGGAGCCAAGAAAGATGTAGTTATTAAAGTGATATTCTGTGAACAATTGAAAAAATAAAATAAATGCACTATTTTTGTTTTACCTGGTCTTAGCCCTCCCTTGTTTTTAAAGCAAAAAGCAGTAATAACATTAAAAATCTAGTAAGAGTGGTCCAATGCAATCACAAACATTTACTGAGTAATTAACTTATGTTTTACAATGTATAGATACAATAAAAAAAATACAGCTTAAAGATTACCTGCAGTATCAGGAGGAAAAGGAAATAGGCATTTGCCACTCTTTGGAACTGCTCAAATAAGTTAATTGGCAAGAATGTGAGAACGTTGTACTTGGATGTATGAATACGATTGTCCTGAAAAAGAGATAATGTCATGTTAGTTTGAATCAAGACATTGCCAGTTTGTGCCACAGCAAGATGGAGCAGTTAGTTATCTAGGAAGTCATAAGCTCCATGCAGCCAAGACCTTTACATTTGCCAAGATAACATTGTCCTAATTCTAGGCAAAATGACTCGGTGTCATTTGGTAGTCATGGGCTATCACACTCAGATTGGCTCCTGATATTTGTTTTCTTCTTATGAAGTCTTAGGTAGATATTGCAAGAGTACCCATCATCTTCCTTGAGTATCCCTGAGCTCAGACTGAAGGCACTTGAATGATGATTAATCTTGTCTATCTCCCCGAAGTATGCCCCCTTTGGGAAATTGTCAAGGGACTTCTTTTTTAACTCTTTTTTATTTATTCTTTGTGTCTTTCATACCACTCATCTCCATCCCATTTATCTCCCATCCATTTGTATCAACCCTCTGCCCTTGCAACCAGCTTCCACATAAAATAAAACAAAATAAAATAAAAATTAATAAAATTAAGAGAAAGAAAGGAAAACCGAGTCTCAAAAGCTGTGGTGTGGCACACTTAGTCACACAGTATACCCTTTAGTCCATGTGTCTTTACTTGCAAGTGTCCATTGGTCTGCTTTGAGGCTTCTGGTTTCTGTTACACCATCGATACTGCACCTCACTAGGACTCCTCTTGTATATCCTGTTATTGTCATGTGTCATGGAGGTCCTGCAGCTTTGCATCTGCAGGACCTGACCCTTCACGTGCTCCCTTAGCAGATCAAAGATGGGGTGGATTCCTCATTTCTGTGCCTGGGAAACTGCAGGATTGATCAGCCCACCAGCTCTCCCCAATCCTCGCCACCAGAGGGAGCTCTCCAGCATTGTCCCTACTAGTTCACCTTGTGTAGTAATGAGCAAGAGGCAAGACAGGATCTCTTGCTTTCATGCCCTCAGGGCTGGCTCACCCACACCTACACCACCAGGGCCAGCTCCTGACTGCTGCAGCTGGTAAGAGTCAAAGGCAGCTCTCCTACCTCAGGGCCAGCTCTCTCAACTGCCACAGGCAGTGAGGGGTTGGGAACATCTCTCCCTCATCCATGTCATCCATGCCACCATATGGCAGGTGAGGGGTTGTGTTCTGAACTCTTTTTTTTTTTTTTTTTTTTTTTTGTTTTTTGAGACAGGCTTTCTCCATGTAGCTTTGTAGACTAGGCTGGCCTCCCGAATTTTGGGATTAAAGGTGTGAGCCGCCACCACCTGGTTTGTGCTCTGAAGTCTTATGTATGTTAAACTTGCTCCAGCATTCCATTAGCATTTTAGAAACTGCATCTCACTGTTTCCATATTGAGTTTTAATCACCTGACATGTCCTGGTGGTGATTAGAAACTACCATTAAAGATAAGTGTTGCATATTCTCTCTCACCTACATTTGCTGGCTCCAAATCTTTCGATGTGAGTATAACCCACAGTAACCTCAGAAATGGGGAAAGAAACTATAGAAACCACTATAAAAATAGGTTTTCTTCCCTAAGCATTTACCTTTAATATGAAAAATCTTTCATGTGTCCTTTAAAACTATAATTTTAACTTATGTGCATTACCAAAAGCATTAAATATTCCTTCCAGCTTTGTGCCATCAGGAGGTTTCAAATACATGTATCTTATGTATTCTTATAAAGCTAAAGACAAATACATTAAAAAGGACGCCCACAGGAAAAGAAATTATTACTGAAACAATAAAGTCTGGGGCATAACCAATGAGCTTTCTTCAGATTGATGTAGCTGTTTGTTCGGTCATTATATGAAATATAGGGGGCTGGGGAGAAACCCAATTAGTAAAGTGTTTGCCTTGCAACACAAGGGTCTGACTTCCATCCTCAGAACCCATGTCCAAAAACAGGGCTCGGGGGGCAAGAGAAGGTGTCACTTGTAACCTCAGCACTGGGGAGGCAGAGATAGCAGGTGTGTGGCGTTCAAAGGACAGCCAGCCTAGTCTACTTGTCAAGTTACAGGCCAGTGAGAGACCCTGTCTCGAAAATAACTGACTAAAGGTGACTGTCAAGCACGTATTCATGTACACACATACTCTATATGCACTATATATTGAATGTTTTATTCACCTCTGAATGAATCTTAGAAAATTATTAAATTTTTATTTAAGCACTTATAAATCCATTTATCTACATTCCCATGAAGCTTAACTCTATCTTGCCCACAAAGACAGAATAACAGGATTGAAATAACATGACATGATGAAATACAGAGTCAATACAGTAAGGATAGGGATGTTTTTATTGGCCTCCCTCCCCACTCGCCAGCTAAAGCCCCCCCCCCATTTCTGCCCTTCATATAGCTCTATCTGCCAGTCTCCTCTCTAATGCTCCTCTGCCCATAGTCTCTTTACTTTCCCCCATTTCTGAGGTTACTGCAGGTTATACTCACATCTAAAGATCTGGAGCAGGAAATGCAGGTGAGAGAGAATTACAGCACTCAATAAAATATTTCCAAATTTTATCAATTTACCAAAAAAAATGCAATTTAATTTTTCTTTACAGCTGGATAGCATTCATTGTGTATGTACACTAAGGATGTTTGAAAAAGCCATAATGAATCATTATTTTACATTTACCTAATTACATATAATATATACAAGTATATATATATATATATATATATATATATATATATATATATATAGTTTAAATGAAGTTATACCAGTTAGCATGATAATGTCTCCCACAAAATCCATAGATTATCTAACCAAATCCCCAGCAATAGGCATGAGAAACCTCCTATCGAGTTGTCAGTCAGGGGAGTCCAAAAGATTTCTAAAACAATGGAGTCTATCACTGCTGCCTTGGTTGCCTACCAGAAGTTAAAGATAAGTCCTGTTGCTGAAGACATCATGCACTTTGGACACAAAACTTGGAGAACTCAAGTTTGATCTCATCAGTAAGCCTCCTCCCTGAAGACTAGCTTTCATGGTTCGTGGAAGGGGTTATGCAGTCTGCCAAGCGAACAAAGCATTCAGTAGTCCTACATAAGCTGTTATGCCTATGAATCACAATAATGATAATATGGCAAGGTATCCCTGAAAGTGCAGTTGTGCACTGATATCTCAGCTGTTACTAAGAGCTGTTTACTTGGTCTTAAGGCCCACTGAAACAAGAGGAAAATCATGCCCGGTAATGTAAACCTAGACACCCACCCCTGACTAGTAAGATCATAGATGTCAGAGGAGAACATACCTCTGCTACTTTCCTAAATCAATTTAAACAATTTTTAACTGCACCCTAAATACTTACCCTTACATCCACAGATAAGTGTAGCTCTTACCCCTCATCAAAGACACTTCTTAGATAGAGACCATTATGGAAAAGCACATCTGCTCAAAATGCAGAGAACAACTAACTGTGGATATATCAACAATACACAAATTCCAGCACCTAAGGCTCAGAGAGCATCAAGGAAACATGATCAAAACATTGTAAAAACCAGAGGAACAGGAAGTATGCTGTGAGGTCGTGTCTTCTGGATACCACAAGGAAGCTATAGCCATGTAATCTGCTTTGGCTATGGCTGCTGCTATGGCTGCTTTAAAAAGATCTGAACAAGGACAATGTGGATGAGAGAAGTCACACAGAGCCCCAACCCCAGATGAAGACCAAAGGCAATTAAAAACTGCCAAGAGAGGGAGAATTGGCCTTCCTCAAAGATAAGTGACCTAATTGGTTATTCAAACCCAAGTAGTCAGCCCTTAAAAATACATAAGAGACACTAGACAGACTCAGCAGATAACAATAGTTAAAGAACGAGACGCCATGAATTCCAAAGAGTGGGATGGCAGGGTATGGAAGAAGTTGGAGAAAGGAGAAGGGCGAAATGATGCAATTATATTTTAGTCAAATGTTTTAAATTAATAATCTGTTAAAATATTTTAATTTTTATTACTGGGGGGGGTGAACACCAAGGTCAGCATGTGGAGGTCAGAGAATACGGAATCTGTTCTCTCCTTCCACCATGTGGATCCCAAGGATCAAACTCACACTGTCAGATCAGAGCATCTCATCAGCCAGCATGAGAGAGAGAGAGATTGTTGTTGTTTTAATGTGACTTTTTCCAGCTCTGCGTAATCACAGCCACCATCTTAAGAAAATTCAATCATCAAACACTCAAACACTAGCAGGAATTACGGGGCAAGCTCCATGCCACAGGGGTGAGCTTTCAGAGAGCTTAGGAGAAATGCCAGGTTACCCCATCTGCTGAACCACAGAGCACTCACTGTACAGGAGCACCTGGCTTGCAGTGTGTCGGGCTGAGCAGAGAGGCCTTGCAATTGTCAATTGTGGCGTTTTCCTGAACAGGAAATTTGAAGAAAAATAATAGGGAAGAGGAAAGCCAAGGACAAAAGATCAGTTAGTCAAACATATCTCCCAGGGCTGGGAATGTATCTCAATGGCAGAGTGCTTTCCTAGTGTGTGTAAGACCCCGGGATCAAACCCCAGCACTACAAGAAAGAAAAGGTCTCAGTCTTGATTGTTTTGTACTTTTCATCTAAGTTACTTATGCAAAAGTTATGTTTGCATGATGCTGAAAAGACAGTCAAAAGCATAGCAAGAGTTTTAAAGAAACTCTCCTATAAGCCTGGATTCTATACAGGTGAAGAGCCAGTTCTGTGGGATAAGGTGATAATGCCCAAAAGAACCTAGTGTTTTCTTTCTCTGTGTTCAGCTTTACATACAGTAATGACTGTATCATTCCATGGACACTGCTACAGTGTAATCACAGATGGTGAAACATGCACTGCTTGGATGGCTACAAAGATGAAGCCACCGTTCTTGGATACACTCTGAACACTACTTTTTTTTTCTCAGTCAAGGGGAAAACATACTTCCATTCCTAGTGTCCTAACCAAAAGGCTATTCAGACCTTCAATCAGACATATTGCTGTGGAGTCATATTGTTGAGCCATCCTACTGGGGCACAAATTCTGGTGCAGCTCATTCCTAACA